TATAATAATATAGTGTATTAAAAGCATAACGAGCGCGAGAGAAAAAAAAACCACGGTGATTGTAGAGTACCTTGGCCGACGATCTAGATCTGCGGATCATATTATCCAAGTGCCACCTACTCCTAACGCACACACTACACCGCACAAATACATACACGTAACGATATTATATTGATATGAATTAAAAAAAAAATAAATAATAAATACGTATGTAACAAATGTATATCGTAAAGTGTATATATCATAATCATATCAATACCTACGACATAATGCGTACGGCAATTAGCGAGCGGGAAATGCCGGCTTTTACCGGCCCCGGGCGTAGCCAGCTCCTAAACCGTCGCCGTACGTACACGACGTATTCATTCGCGTGCCGATTAGCGCCGCGAACGGATTTTAAAATACGTTACGACACGGCCCGTGTTGATCGTTACGATTTTTTCTCTCGTCCGAGTGTCCCTCGGTGCAGACGGATCGCGGACTTTCCAAATATATTATTCGTGTTTTATTCGTTTTTTGCAAAACGTACGTTCATTATTGATCAGTAATCAATGATTACTATTAAACACAACTGTATCGCCGGTTTTTCAAGCACCGCCGTCATAAAATACACTGCGGTTTTGTAGACCTACCCGTTTGTACCTGACGCAAGGTAATAATTCGGTACAGGTGCTGTTCTGGAAAAATGCATTACGTCATTTAATGTGCAACGAAAAACAATCATTATCGTTCTTGAATTCTGTAAATTTCTCAACTGTTTATTTCATCGGATAGAATCATCATCATCATCATCATCATCATCAGATGTTCTCATCGGGACCTTGTCTTACCGACTATTTTGTTGGTCTATAAACCCCAAACACGTCATATCGACACAGATTAGATATAACCTAGAATTGAGTAATTTTATTTTAGAACTATTGTCTATTATAGAAGTAGAACACCTCTTATGAATATTAAAAAAAAAAAAAATTTCGAAATGTATTTCATTTTAGGCTTTTGTAGAAAATTATTTTTTTAGACAACCATCTTAATATACACGTGCATAAAATATACCTAAATATTTAAAAAATTTAGTTTTCAGAAATAAACATTACGTCGCAAAAACTGATACGAGATGCTTTCATAAGTGTTGTGATTTCTTCTCATACTAGATTCTGATTTGAGTATCTTAAATACATGTATTAATTGTAAGTAGCGTATTTAGTTTTATCACACAGATTAAATATTTAATAGATTACAATTTTTATTAATATTTTATTAGACATTTAATTTGTGGCTTTATCTTTAGAGATTTTAGAGTAGCACTAAAAACAATTGAATAGCCAACCTAAAATTATCAGGTTATATATTTTATTTTTTAATAATTTTTTCATTACTCTACTAATGATAATGAGCAATAAATAACCTGCGAGTTACTTCGAATTGGTATTTAAATAATAGATAAATTTTTTTTAGTTAACATATTTTATCTTAGAATGTCTTTTAAATTGCCTATATTAAACCCCTTATAAATGTCAAAGAGATCTACTCTTACAATATTACTCTAACACTCGACAAGTTTTTTTAAAACTCAAGTCTTATTAAGTATTTAAGAATATAAACGGCCGTTCAAACGTCGAATGTCTTCGTGGATATTCGTGTGTGGTCACAAATACACACAGCATCCGCAATAGCAGTTGAATAACTGTCCCAGATATGGATAATATAGTAAAAAAAAAGTAGTGGTTGCGGTGGTAAGCCTCGTTTTAAGAATGTAATATAATTATGCATAATTCTGTGTTTCAAATATTTATTTGATGTGCACAAGCCGTAAATAACGCATAACAGTAATAATTATAATAAATTGTAGGTAGGTTATTTCTATTATAATCATAATATACCTGTGCGACGGTCTTATTACCGAATAAAATAATGTATTATAATGGTAATGTACAATAGGTATACATATTATGTACTATTAACCGTAGATAAATATTTCAGTGTTATGCTAAGAAGAGTAAACTGAACTTTTACTTTTTTAAGTAATCTCAAAATAATTTCTTGCAATTCTTATACAATATAACGATGCACGATAAATTATGATATTATATTTAACATTTTTAAAAACTATGTTTTATTTAACTTTGAAAAAAAATTATTCATGAAAAATTATTTTGGTTTAACACATCATCTTCATAGTAAAATAATATTTTTATAAATATATGTATAAGTATATCTATGTAGACCTGTAATTATAACAGGAAAAATAATTTATTGAGTTGTGTACATAACCAATTAATAATCATTAATTGTATATAATTAGTGACCTAAGAAGGTAGATTCATTTTTACGATCAACTACTTATTTCAATTATATATATATATATATATATATATATAATACTAAAACTATTATACCTAGTTATTAATTGGTAATTAAAATATGATATATAATATCACCGCTAACATAAATGTAGTTTGAAAAATTATATATATAAATTAATAGTGAAATGCACGAGCATTTAGTTTAAAAAAACCTGTTTAGCGGATATAAACTACCTGTATTTTTTTTATTTTTTTGTTTCGTCACACTGAAATTTTTTTTTTAATGCGATCGAGATTTTTTGCGCAATAACTCGGAACAGTGAACTTTTAACTAAAAATGAATGATATTTTTCAAATTTAATTACGAATAATTATTAAATATTAATACGGTGCCAACGATTGTGTAAAACATACAATATAGTGGACCGCCTTGGCTAACACGCACTAGATGTGCATACTATTAATATATACAGCTGCAGGTGTATATGTTTGTCGAGAGTGAAAGTGCGCGCACACTTCACCCTCGGGGGCGTTAATGCGGGCGTTTCCGCGGCAGTTTGCGAAAAAATCTAACGCGTTACGAAATTTTTCGTTTTGTTTCGCCCTCGTAAAAATCTCGTGAAAAAAAATTCATTCAACCAATGCATTTATATTTGTTTTATCAATACCGCATACACACGAGCAGTTGTTGGTGTATTAGTCGTCGTCGGGTAACGACCACGCCCGTTCGCTGCTTTACAGACCGCAAGACCGCAACGTCGTCGTGCTTTCCAATGTAATAATATGGTTATTAAAACCAATAACGGCTTTTCGTTATTATTATCCGTTTAACCTCTGCGGACAGATATAAGTACCTACCTGAGAGTTACCACGAATTGCGTGCTCGACCCGGAGTTAGAAGCCGCGATGAGGTGGTGTTAAAACAGGACGTGGGGAATTGCACGGTCGTCACTAGTCTGTAGTCATCGATGAACAAACACCGTAGTATCAATTTAATATTTTATGATTATTGCACGCGAAAAACACGTTAATTAATTTTCTACGAAGCACCATGCGGTTATAATAGGAATAACACTTCGTCAGGCACGATGTCAGTACGTATAGGTAAGCGGATACGTAGGCGTTTGTTTAGTTATATCGAGTTATCCATAAATTGGGTCACCGGTTTACAGGCACACGTTACGGCAATACAACGTTTGTGTGTTAAAACTTTTTTTTATTGTATTTTTTATTATTATACAACGATTAACGCGTATTGCGGCGGTGGATGCCAACACACCTCGACGATTCGGGCTAACGAGCAGATAACAATAATTTTACGATATATTTTTTAATGTAACCCGTTGATTTTATCATAACAATAATGCATTATAACACGTTATCATTCCTCATAGTAATGCGTGCAATCTCCTGGTAAACCATTCGAATCGTTTGATTGAAATCGCGGTCGGGTCGATGACGTGTGCACGTATATTACGTAGGATACGAATAAACGATCGATTTGCATTACTAACGAGGAAAGTGTACCATTAGTGTTGACTCTTGTTTGGTTTAATGCCTTATACCCACAGGTGGAAGTTATGTGCACTATAATTTTGTAGTAGACAAACTATATCTTCATTGCACCGCGACACTTTACTACGCGGATATGTAAACACGCATCTACAATCTCCTGGCTTTAACAGGACAATTATGTATTAAGTGTACCTATTCAATTAGAAGGACTGACTTCTATGAATAGAATAAGACTGCATCTATGTCTACATCTGTGTTAAATCTTAAATTAAACGATGTAGTTGGAGAGCATACTTGTTTATTATTTTTTACGTAATAATGTAACATCGAAAAATTAAGTAGGTATATAGGTACACATTACATCACCCATATGAATCATGATGTATAATACTCTTTTATGTTCGCGATACTATTTCGGTTATTCCATTATAAACATGACATGTAAAATACATCTAATCTTTACCAATTTGTTTCACGTCGTATATTACATTTTACACTTAAAAGAAATTCGTTCGCCTTAACCGGTGTGAAAAAAAGTGTACATATTTTATATAGTCCACTATTCCGGTGTGGGATAATTTTACACCGACTTTAACTAACAGATTTCAGTAGGCTTACGGGCAAACGATTTCATTGTTAATGAGTTAAACTTTATTTAATATAGTTGAAAAGTGCATATAAATGATTTAGTGTATTTTTCATACCTGTTATTATTTCTTATCAATCTGCAAAGTTGCAGAATCTGAACAAATGTTAACATAGTATTAATATTTAATTTATAATTATACGTTGTTGAGTAAAACTTTACTAGTAAATAATATTAATGAAAAATCGTAACAACAAAAAACTCTGTAAAAACTCTGTAGATCGATGTAAAATTATTTTTTCATTCAAATTCTTTTTAAATACCTAATTTTATAATAGATAAGGTTATTATGTGCTATTTTTTGTGTATTATGTATTAAATTGTATATTACAATACACGACGACAGCGGAAGAGTAATATTGTTAACATAGATCCTTCGCTGTCGGCTATTTAAGAAAAAAAACCTAACATTGAATATTTTTTTGATAAGGATTTATAACACTTGACGTAACAGAAATCGTCCAAGTGGGGACAACCGTCATAATATTATCGAATGTATTTTTTTATACACGTTGGTTTTATTTGTGTTGCAGACTTGTGGTCAATCATCGTCAACAGTTGCTGCATCGATAATACAGCAGCTTATATTATCGTATTGCCCAAATATCTAAGGCAAATCAAAATGACATCACCACTGACCTCGACGACATCGGTCCGACGGTGTTCCGTCCTGACCACCACTTTACTGCTGTTGTTAGCGGTAGCCGCCAATTTTCCATCCGGCGCCCTATCGTCTGCCATACGTCCTGCGTCATCTGCTGTGTCCACCGACGTCGCAGCTGGTTCTTCCCCGTTAGTTCCGAGCAATTGGCACGGGACTCCGAACGTTCCCGCTGACGTGCCAGCGTCGGACGCCGGAAGGACTGTTGTTAGAGAAAAAAGGACGTTGCTCAAACTTAAGCCGCTCATCGTGTTGCCGGTCAAGGTCGCGCTGGGCACTGGCGCCAAGTTGGTAGCAGGAGCTAAGCTTGGAGCCAAGGCTGTTGGAGTAGGTTCGAAGGCACTGGGTGTCAGTCTCGTTGGATTGAAAGCCGCTCATAAAGTGGCAAAAGTGACAGTAAAGGCAGCCACAGCGTTGGGAGTCAAGGCGGTTCTGCTCAACTTCTTGTTTCAGGTATATTTATGACTATATCCATAGGTATGCGTCAATTCAGCGGCGTAGCTAGTGCACGATTAAAACTGAAATCACCAAAGTACACTGCAACATTAACCATATCTATAAATTTCATAGTAAAAAAAAAAATGATTTAGTATTTCAATGTTCTGCATAAAACGATCAGATATAGAACGTAGGTAGCCGTGTAAAATCGCGTTATATTTTTCCCGCCTATCTTGGAAACATTTTCTAGCTACGCTGTTTTTGCAGCATGCACAGTTCCGATCCACACAATATTATTAGAATATTCTTCGCTATTATTGTAATGAAACTGATTGCATCGTTTTATTTGTTTGTTACACGTTTGCAGAAAATCAATCAGGTGATCGATTTTAAGACCCGTTTACTAAGTAACCTTGACCAGCGCAACCGGCAGCAGAATGCACAATTTCTGTCACCAGTGTTGACCCAATCCTCTTCGTCAGCAAAATCGGGATCGATCGGAAACAAGGTAAGCTTTCAGTGATTCACGATCTAAATTGTATTTAATATTTATGAGTTTATAAGAGGCAAAGCTGCAATATTATGCAAATGTATAGTATTATAATGCACATTGTACATATTGAGCAGAAAGCAAGAGAGTGGATATATGGAGTGATATTATGGTATTGAATTAATATATAGAGTATATAAACTATCAAAGTTTACACCATTTGTATAATATACAATGGTAGAGAAAGTAAAGGACGAAGAAGCAATTAATGTGTCACAACACATTAGTGAAGGGTTAAATTAAAATATAAATTATAAATTATCAGTTGTGTATAATGATTGATTATTCTATATAACGTTTGAAACCCAGTTGTGGTGAATGATGTTATATAACAAAACGTGAGATATGTGAAATCGTGGTGGTTGGAGTTGAAACGATGAGTTTTCGTCCGATATATACATAATGTACAAAAAGAGGAATGTTGCTACCACTCATATACATACATGATTTATAATCTATAAATTACTATATACAATATACATACATCTATAGTCTAAAGATTTACACTATTTTATCTACTTATGGCACGCATTTCATAATATTTTATACTCACATATAATATATATAGTATATATGTATATACGTATACAGTGGATTATTAATAATTTTAGATTATCATTAATTCTTACAATAGAAATATGATTTGAACCTATTAAATAATAAAACGTAAACGTATAAATAATATTATATAAATTAAAAAATGTAAGTCAGCTGTTTTTAAACTCGTAGACAAATGAAAAACAAAATCATACTAAATTAAATCTGTTTTGTCATATATTGTATATAATTTCATACACGTAATAAGTCAATCGTTTGAGTTTCTAATCGAATTTTAGTTAATTAAATTAAGTGTGTTACGATGTTATACATATGAGCCTAATTATCAGTAATCCACTGTATATAAAAAAACGTACAACCATGCGCACTAGTACAATTACGCTAACATTTTATACTTATACACAATATTTTAACAATCATCACTCGCACCAACACCAACTACACTAAATAACCCACCCACAATCATACCCATCCTCGCTTTCTTCATTTAAACATTTAATTTAGAGAAAATAATTTACAGGTGATATTACAATATTATATAATACTTATGTGTATTACCTATATTATGAATTTAGTACCTATGATTAATGTGTTAAAAACGTTAAATACGCATTTTACCACTATAAAAATGTACTGGCTATAATGTAATACGTAGCTATAAATTGTACATCATATTATGCAATGACGATTAAATTTAAAAATATTAAGAAACTTGATCGTATGATGGGTTTGTGACAATGATAGCGATACAAATACTGAAATACTAATATATATAATATTATCATAATCATATTTATGTTATTACTTACGATGACGGTGACGACGACGGTAAGTGATGATGACGACGATGACGAAATTTGTTTTTAATTGATAATGTGAATTGTATAATTCACACGTACGTATGTATAAACGATTATACCTGCAAGATGATGACGAGAAGGAAATTGTACAACTAAAAAAACTTCTACGGAAACCGACAATAACAACAAAAACAAACGTCGGTGACAGTTACAATTTTTTTCCATATAATTATACTATAACACAAAATACATTTGGACGAACGGTTATGACGAAGATTATTATATAAACACATAAAATAATACATACATTGACGTTATAAAATTACGAGTTATGCGTAATCGGATCATATATAAGTAATATTTATTCTCGATAGAGAAATAACATGTTTTAATAAATTGGCCAATGCATTCTAAATAAAGTATTGCAAATACTTGAGTACCTACATATACATAAGTGTAAGATATGTAAGTATAAAAGACGTTTTAAAGATTTCAGTTTTTCTTCGTTGATTCTGTAATACATTCTACTATACCAACAATAAATACATTTTTGAATTTTAGTAGGGCATTCATTTAGAAACAACTTAACTAAACGTTAAATTGTTATATATCTATCGAGAATCTACTTTATTTATTTCCTGATTACTGAAATACGACATAAAATGACAATCATGACGACGACTTCTTTTTAAATGCACGTCCGGGAGCAACGGTGTGCGTGTGCTGTGTATGTCTATTTTGTGTGTGATCACGCGCATGTATAGACATTTTACAGTATGTGTGTGTGTGTGTGTGTATGTGTTGTAAAAGGCGTACAATATAATATAGTTTTGTATACGATAGTTGTAATAATATTAATATTATAATAAATTCAGTGCTCCAGAATAGCGACTGATCCACGTGGTAGACATTGATGGTTTATAATTTTATATCTATTCTCATATGATAGCAAAACGTTATGATTATGAATAATAATGAATATTTCATTATAATATCGTATTTCCGAAAGAGACAATAGTTACCATACATTATATAACATCACATTCACCTTTTAATCGTAACCAATAATATCAGTATTTAGACTGTGGGTAGCTATTCACGTACACACTATAGTCTATAGATCAATAAACGCAATATCATATTAATTACGCTATTACAGTCCTATCTATTGTAATATATTAATATGTACAATTTAGCCGAAAAATTCTTCATTATTTTCCTTTATACTCTTACGGAATAATTGATATCGACAGTAATTAAAATTAATCCGTGACTTCTGCTATTATATTATTATGTACGACTAAACGTCATGTTTTCAATACAAAACATTTGAATAGAATAAAAACCGATAAGGCGCACACAGACAAATGAAACAATATTACCCATAGTGTCTGCGAAAAGACTAGAAATTGTGTCATACGAGTATATGGTAGGTACTGTAACCGTATACAATCGAATTTGAGCACTGAATTCATATTAATAATATATTATTATATAATAAAATATTATTGTATACTATGAATAACATCGAACAACGAATGTGTGTGTGTGTGTATGTGTGTGTGTGTGTGTGTATGTGTGTGTGTGTGTGTGTGTGTGTGTATTTAGGACGCCACATTCAACGATGTTGCCGTCGCAGCTGCCGTCGACGCTTCCATCGCTACGCCAGACTTTGTGGCCGCCGCTGATACACCGAAATTCGCAACAAATGCGCCATCGTCAGCCTTCGTCCCCGGATCGAACTTGATTGCTTCGCCACCACCACCACAGCAGGAATTTGCGGGAGCACCGTTAAACTTAGCCGGTATCCCGGCAAACTTTGAGGACACTTCGTCGAGCTTTGCCGGCGCTCCTCCCGGTTTTCGTGCATTCCACCCGAGTTTTGCTGCGACAAACGATGATGGATCACCGTCGTCGGAGACTTCATTCTAAAAATATGCATCCTCTCGTCGTCGTCGTATCGTCATCTCCTCAATCGCATCGACACTTGCCAGCCACACCGCCATAGTATATTCCACAATCGTCATTTATAAATATTATTCAACATTACATTGTCATAATCATATATCTAAGTATAGTCATAAATCACAATACATAGTAATAGTAGTTGTTTAAAAGTACAGATAGTACATATCGATTGAGTCGTGAATATTTGATCAACTAACCTGTTGGATCAAACTCATCACGGTATCATTAGACTGTAGGTACATACAAAACAAAATTTCAGACATAGGCTACATTTTTTAGCTCGCGTAATCACTTATACGTATACGATGATTCATCTGATTAAAAAGGTAAAAGAAGATTTTTATTTTTGCAGTTCTGAACGGTTATATAACATTTAAGAAAAAGTACGGATTGAATTGTGAATATCGTGTTCATTATATGGTTAAATGTGTAATAAAATGATATTAAAATGAGTATACTCGTGTGTGATATTGTATAACCGTTTTAAATTAAATTATAATTAACATATTTTTTATAGTTATATTATAAATAAATTATTTGATAATAAAGCCATAAATTCGTTAGCTCGAGTGTAACCGATAATCAAAATTTCGTTTTATATAACATTATGTAATATTTATAAACGTACATATATATTATTATATTAACACGATTCCATAATGCGTGGTAGTAAATTTAATTTTTAACATAATCAAACCTTTTATAAATTATAAATACAAAAGTATGCTGCAGTATACACTTAATAAATAATAATTTGAGTATACCTATATATGAAACTATGTGAGCATCCATTAATATTAATGTTTTTATATATTTTATATTAAAATATGCACCACTGAAGGATCTGCAATTATCACACTTCACTTTCACATATCTACGTTAATAATTAATACGTTGTAATTATTTTTGTTGCGACATTCAACAATGTAATGTACAATCATTCGTCTCTTCTCAATCACGTCATTTTCATAATTTTCATAATTTTAACCGAGCATGTCGACTACAAAAATTTTTAACAGTCTTTTCATCACATCAATAACCATTATCATTAATTATTATTAAACCACATTATCATTAGCACTATTTGCAATTTTCTTCCGTCATCTTACATCGTTATCATTAGTCAATGACCATTTCACCAGCCATTTATCGCTATATTATAAGTAGTATCATCAATATAAATGAGTGTTACATAAAAATAATATATATTATATTACATAATATTCGGTAATCTTACTTAAGTAAGTTAGTGTCATCTATATAGGTTTTAGTAAATCTTAGTATGTTAAGTAGATAAATTGTTGGTATATTATTTATTACTGTAGTCGTAGTGTGATGAATTTCTCAAATGTTAGTACCTACTATTTAATTCGATCAAAATATTTATATAATATTATAGAATAATAAAATAAATAAGCTTGTTGCTGATTATTAGACAATAATACATTATTGTTAAAAACAATGAAATGTATTGTATTGCCTGCGAACAAGTCTTATCGCACTGTATGCCATGTTATATTTTTAATACAATTACAAAATTAGTATATTATTATTATTCTTGGTGTTAATATTTATTAGTCATTTGTCATTGATATTTTAAGTGTGGCTTGGAATGTAAGTATTTATAAGGGTCTAATGAAGTTTCTAAAATCAATATAATAACTAATTTAAAGATTCAGTCCCATTTATTTTTTTCAATATTATACACAAAGCATTAAATATCATTATAAGATTTGTTTTGTCTGTAGCTTAAAAAAAATCAACAAGTTTTCTAGAATCTTACAATAAAATAAAAAAATCAGTATTATTTGAATTTAAATTGTTAATAAGTATGATTAATCTATTAGAATGATACGTTAAACTCGTAATTAAAGTAATTTTTCTGTTTGTTATAAAAATTACCAATAATTTATTGAAAAATGTAAGCTAATTAATGTAGACCCTTTTTTTCTAAATCTATGCCATTAATATTTATATCAATGACGTTAAAATTGTTGTCATTATTATAGCTTTTGTAAGTATTTATAATAGGTATATAGTTGTAAACTTAAAAGTCATACAGGGTGGGTCGTGGGTGTTAAAGTTATAATTACTAATAGCTAATAAAAATAGAAAAAAAACATAATCCTTACTATTTTATAGTCATTAATAAATATTAACTAGACATACTACCCTATTGCAATATCAATACGTCTATATTGTAATAGACGTGTATAATTTTAGAGGTTATTTTAACATTAACTACACTATAGTCTATAGAAATATATTAAACAGGATATCTTTATACACAGTACTATCATGTATAACAATTTCAAACTGGGAATATGTACGTTCTAAATTAATTATTAAAATTTATTCGGTATACTTCATATAATACATTTTGATCACCAATTCTCCAATTAGGTTTATTTAATATTTAGATATGTTAGAATGAAGACTTAATATATATATTACTTTTTAAATCTATCACTACTTAATACTTATACAATTCACCCTTGTGCTCTTGTTTAATCTGTCTGTATATACTATATAATGTGCGTAAAGGTTACTCCATTGTAATATTTAAGTGATACAATATAATAGTCGATTATTCAAAATTACATTATTATACAATATTTTGTGTGTATACTTATATTATTGTATTTGTGGTGATATTCATATATTATTATTGTAATATTCGTTAATGTATTTTAGTAAATATAAATAAATATACGGCCATTTAAAAATTATAAAATTTTTATTATTATTATCATTAGCATGATGCTACTAACGTATACTTACTAATTTTTTTAATACCCACGCGGTGTCCTAGTTAATTTCATTATCTGCCATCATTCACTGTCCTTTATTTTTTATGTAAATCATAGACAAAAATAATATTTATACACAAGTCAAATTGCAGATATCGTAAAATATGATATTAATCTTCAGCTTAGTTCACAATAGTGATTGTTTATAATAGCGTTCAGTAACACTTAAAACACTTTATTGTTGAGTTTAAGCGCTTATGACAAATTCTAAGGAGTTCGGTAGGTATAGGTAGGTGACACAGTTTTGTTAAAAAAATTCAACATGATACGGTAAATAGAAAAATAGGAGTGTATAGTATTATTGAAACTTAAATATCTTTGTTACAGCACTTAAATAACGTCTATAACAAAATGCTGTTAAAATTGCTTTTATAATTTATATTTCAAATTTCATAAAAAAAATTACATTAATATTGAACAAATTAATTAAAATATAAACGAATGATATTGGTTGTCAAGTCATAAATATTTTAATTTTTTCGTATCTAGTTGAATTTTTTTATATTGCTATCAAAACGTGATTTTATTATTATTTTATTGACAAACCTAACCTAACCGATCAAATTATATTAACATTAAAGTATGATTTAATTATTAATATCATATCATGAAAATCATATTTATATTTTTTGTAACATTGTGGGACATTACATTGCAGGAAGACGACGACTTTCTGGCATCGGCACCAGGCACCAGCGATCAACAAGTGTTGGCCCAAGAGCAGATAAAATCTTCAGCCATAGCACCAGCGGTTGCACCACTGGAAGACGATAGCGAGGTGACATTTGATGCCAACAAAGTCACTCTTCAGATCCCAGACAGGCTGTTCGGTCCCAGTTTCACAGCCGTCAACGGCATATCACAGACAATCGGAAACGTCATACAGGTTATTAATCATTATGTACATTTACTATGCAGAGATTTTAATATACTAGTTTTCAGTTATAGTTAGGCGTTTACATATTTTGAATTTAACATGTAGGTACCTATATTTTTTAAAGTTTTGAATAAGGTTCATTAAACATTTGAATTTTAGCCAAATTCGATAAAAATTTATAATAACTTGGCGATAGATCAAACATATGTAATATTACAAGGCTTAAAATATATTTTAAAAATCTTATAATTGTTGACAGATATTAGATAAAAATATATTATACTAATATATAATTTCATATCCTTGGCACAAGATCACATCCTCTTTACATTTAACACTGATTAATTGTAAGTTTGATAAAATAAATTTTAAATATCTAATTTAAAATAGGTATTATAGGTAAATCAATGATTTTTGTGAAAAGAGAAGTGCCAAATTTTGAATTATAATGGCTCTATTTTATTTGATATTCATACACACATTGCCAATAATTATTAGAAACGTATATTTTTAATAAAAGATATTATTTTTGGTAAACAATAAAATATGTGTTTTGAAACAAACTCTTAGTTTCATTCGAAGGCTTATTACATTTTAAACAACGTTAAGTTTAGGAAAACCACAGATAATATTATAATTGCTTGTATTTATGTGTATATTAACCTATATATACCAGTCTCTACTAGACGCATTGCTGCATACATAGGGTTTAACGTATGGTTGTACTCGAGAAGCTATTACATGTAATGAAATTTAGGTTTATTAATTATAAGTGCCTAACTATTTTTTATTAGGTATGGTTTATATGCGTATAAAAATAATATTTCGTTTGTAATGATAAAGTGAGCAATTTAGACTGATGATAATATATTTAGATGGGTACTATAAAAGATACGTGAACGTTCAATTAAAAAGTGTTGTCTTAGGACTAAGAGAAATAGCGCAATATTTGTATAACTACATTGATTGTGTTGTTCCTGTATATTATTTTTCTTCACCTAACCTAACGAACGTTTTATAAAAAATAAAAATGTATTCGAAAAATAATCGGTTAAGGGGGTCCGCGTTCTTCAAAAGTCTAAGAGTCGTTGTTTTTACAGTTCATATTATACGTAGTGTTGTATTTCACATATATTATTATTGGGGCTGGGATTTTAATACTCTACAAAATCTCAAAAAATGCACTATAAAAATGCATTTAAATTATATTTATTATAGCTCTTATAGTATTGTTTAGTTCTGTTGTACTTCTGTTTTCTTAATCATTCGTTCTAAAATAATAATTTGAAAAAAAAAATTGTTATCGACGATTACCCGAAAGTCTCTCGTTAACCGAAACAATTTTCGTTCATTTTACGGACAAATCGTGAAGAATGCTCTATAAAAACTAGGAAAACGCGTTAAAATCGTCAAAAAAAATTATGCAAAAAAAATTATTTCAAAACTATCGGCATAGCCCAAACCAACGTGTTTGAAAACGCCGGAAAAAAGACGCCTTTGCATCGTAATCCCAGCCCCAATCGTCGCGGCGTACCGTTTTGTTTACCGCCATTAAATTATTCTCGTTTTTTTGGTCACACAGAACGCGGCCGGCAGACTGGCCCGACTCGTGGACGCCATCAAGGCGGCCTTTTGGCGCAAAGCGGCCGGCGTCTCGGCCATCAGCAATTCGAGCGGCAGCAGCAGCGGCGGCGGCGGCGGCGGCGGAAGTTCGTCGACGCGTCGGCCGACGGCCAACAGAGGATCCCGAGACGCAGCGGCCGACCTGCAGAACAACGACGACGACGGACTGGACTTGGACCCGCTGGACGAGGCCGCGTCCGCGTCGTCGCCCGCGTCGCCCGCAAAACCGAACGCGACCGGCCGGGCGGATGGCGCCGGCAACAATCAGTGATGCCGCCCGCGGCGACGTTGTGCGGCAGTCGTCGGTGCGTGTGTATCGGCGAGTCGTCGTCTCTCGGTCGGCGCGACGACGACGTCGTCGTTATTGGACGTCGTCGTCGCCGCATGTCGCCGTGAAACGACATCGATACCACGACGTCGTCCGTTCGCGCGAGTCGAATGGCCGCCGTACGTAATGTACGCATTTGATGCTGCGCGGTGACTGTCAGCAGCCGGAACGGTCGGTATCGCTGTGACGATGACAACTCGTTCAAAAATTACGCGACATCGATCTGCGATGATGGCCATCGGCATTCACGCGACTTCCGCTCGCGCGGTAATCGATTATTATCGTCGACTCCGCAGCTCATCGCATTACATTACATTACTCTGTCGTTTAGAACCACTGCACAGACGCGCGTACAACATTCTCCCGGCACCAGGGACGTATACGCACACGAGGGGTGTTTGAGCGTTCAAACACCTCCCCCGAAATATTTGGTTTTTTTTTTTTTTTTTTGAAAAATCGGCTAAAGCAAGACAAAAATAAGATTTAAAACAATTTGAGAAAAACAAAAACACTTAAACGAGATTATCGACTGATTTTCATAAACACTCCCCGAAACTTTTTTTTTTGCGTACGTCCTCCCAAAACGTGTCCGATGTATTTATATTATAAGGAAAATGTATCGAATAGACTTAAACGTAGTTTATATTCTAATTACATGCTGTATATAAGTGTAAACGGGGCTATATATTGTTGTAAATAATTTTTATTTATGTATTTTATATTATTTTTAACGATAATCAAAATTAAACGAGAAAAACGTAGTATTAGGTGTATAGCGTGTAGTATACGGGGTAGTATATTATATGTATTACTATTGCCATGTGACGTTACACCGTGCACTACTAATGACATATAACAATATTAACTTTAAAGGTAAATGTACTTAAATGTTGTAGTATAAAATATTAAATTATAAACGTAGTTGTAAACATATTTTATCGACTACCTACACGATGTATATCGTCAACATTTGTTGTTGCACACCTCATACTGTACATTATTATTATTATTATAACAGCATATATTTTTTTCACACTGTTGTATTTTTATATTATAATGTTTTATTGTTTTGTATCTATAACGCGTATTATAGGGCTCGTAATCAATTGTATCCATAAATTAGTTAGTAGATTTATATTATACATAAATGTTTACCTGTAACTTCTACGTGTATGTGCGAAAAATATACGTTATATCAATCAACTGCCAAGTGTATTGTTGTTTATTGTAGTATTGTACCTATAGTAATCAAATAAGATTGAGTGAATTTCATACTTTACGTTACAGTACGTTGAATGCCCTCCAAATTCTTATAGCTATGTCCTTTTATTGGTTCTTCAACTTTGGAAATAGCCAGAAGTGCAGTGATGAGTGGAACCAAATCAGGCCTGTACAAAGGGAGGGGAGACGTTGTAATATTCCTACTGGTCATGGTCAAACACTGTTGAAATTTTAGTGATATGTAAGCAAGCACATTGTCACGGTGGAGGAACAAATTTTGCACAGAGCTTGTGCATTGAAAAATTGTCGTGTAACATCTGGCGACGAATGGTTTCTTCATTAATACCGAGTTCATTTGACAACATTCGAATCGTGGGGCGTCTGCAATCTATTCGCCCCAATACTCTTAAACGTTCGACGTCTTGCCTAGCGTGCATGATTTTAGGGGAACCTGACCTCGTGTCGTCTTGCACTGATTCTTGCCCTGATGCAAGACGTGCAGTCCATTCGTACATACATGATTGTGTTAAGCAGACATTACTGAACAAGTGTTACGGTTTGCAAAAGATTACGGCCGATTTTTCGCCAAATTTCACCAGAAACTTGATGACGATTTGTTGTTCGTTTTTCACGTCACGACACTACACTACAGACTAAAAATTCCCAAAGCATAAAATCTAATACTGATCTATCAAACTTGTGAACATTACATCATCTAATTATCAAGATATCAGTGTTACTATTTAAGAAGTTAGAAATCAATTCTCGTTATTTAATTGCCACACCTCTTAATACGTTAGATGTTTATTAACATAATATAATAGTCTATATGACTAAACCACATTAATTAAAGGTATCACATTATATTGCACATGTATTATAGCATTAGATATAACTTATATGTTTAATATTAGTACAATAGTAATTTATTTAACACATTGACGGTAAAGATTATTAATGATTATATTATAAAGCATGCCTAAATAAATCAATGTCTTAGTTCTGCCATAGTAGTAATTTTTTTAGTACTGCTATAAGCAGTAGTGTCCCTTTACATAAAATATTAAATGTACGTATGAAAAAAATGTTATAATACTGCTATAGCAGTAGTACAATTTTTTTTATTTTATTCCTAACATATTATTATGTTTTGTGTAAAACCTGTTTATTTAAAATTTGAAATCCAATTTTGAATGGTTTTGTGGTCGGGGACGGGATCATGTCGACCAAGCGTAAACCGAACGTGAAACACATATTAAGTTGATATCAGTGAATCAGCGTTATTAATAAATTATTTGATAACAAACGCACTAACATTTATATCTATAAGTATGCACACAGTTATTATTAAAAGTACCATTCACTATACAAGAATTACAACCATGGTTATGCATTATTGTCTTTAACACTGTGTACTGAGTTTTGGCTGACGTATCACGTCATAATACCTGAGTAATTTTAAATATTAAAATTGTATTATTAACAGGTATTCAATTTAAAAGAATTTTAATATTTTTTTCTTTAATAATTATAAAGGCCATACTAACAATCAAACTGAAAGTTGAAATCATTGGTTTTTGAAATTAATATTTCAAAATAATACATTTATTTGATAGTTAGTAGGATTATGAATCGAAAGCATCATACAAAAAAAAAAAATCATCAATCACTTAAAAAAAAATTTTTGAATAATTATATCTTTACTATTATGAAAGGAAGAAAATTAGGTATTGCAAACATTTTAAAGATAATAGTGGTAATATTATGAGATTCTTAAAATACTATATGATATTGAAAGTGTTTTATTTAAAGATGGTATTAGGTAAAAATATTTTGAATAATGTGTATGATTTTTTTTTTTAATATTGAATTTGAGTTAAAACATAGATTATGTATAATACATCATAATAACACTTAGGACATACATTGTACATTTGTATATAATTGCATAATATATAATATGTAAATTTTTTGTTCCGGATATTTAATATTTTTTTTGGACATTACAGATCTATGTATTTGTGTTAAAGATACTCAAAAAACTCATTTGATAAAATGTTCACCATGTATATTTTCTATAATAAAAATAAATAAACACAATACGTTTCACCGGTTTTATGTAAATAGATATATATATAAAATATTTTTTTAATTTGCAATAATTTTGTATCTCCCCGTGAAAATGTACACAAAACACAAAGTTATTAAATAATCTTACAATATAAAACAAAAACATATTATATAAACACAAGGTACGAATAATAATAATAATAATAATAATAATAATAATTGTTATTACCTATACAAGATAATTTTATATGTACGTAATTGAGCGATATATATGACGTACTCGGAAAAACGAGCGTTTTACAATACGAGTTTATGGGTACATAAATCTTATATAAATTGTAATCATATTGTACTTTAAACGACGAGAAACAAAACCCGAAAACCTCAACCGCAAGAGCGGTTAATCAATAAAATTATTTATATATATTATATATTTTTTTAAATAATAAAAACCATAATAACATAATGTTTACATTTAGAGCGAATTTTTGTTATCTCTCGGCTCATTAAATATGCATATATAACCTACTCATTTTTGTTTATGAAAGCGTAAATATCATGTTGTATTTTTTAAGTTGATCATGGTGAAAATAAACTGCACAACGTTTACAATAATAAATTATGGAATATTTTAAAACCTAATAAAATAATAAGTTTCTCCGATTAATAATTATAATAATATAAACTATATACACGAGTCAACGAACGAAAAAAAACACATAAAATAATAATAACCAATGACAAAAATAATAATAATAATAATAATATGAGCATTTTTCCTCAAAAATAAAAATATTAATCATAACATTATTATATCATATTAATACTTAATAAAAACGTTAATTTTTTAGACAATAAAATATTGTTATATGTACAAGAAGACAGTATTACACGTCACATATTTCACAAAAAGGTATGTCCGGATAATTACATAATAATAATAATAATAATAATAATAATAATAATAATAAAAATAATTATTATCATTGTCGAAGTCGAAATATGTCGACGCGGAGAAGAAATGGCCCGTTGGCACATTCAAACAACCATCGTCGCATTTTTATACAATATTTAAAATACGCGATTATGATCGTTTTCGCCACTATACGTGTCGACTACGTGCGCGTATTGTACAGTTATAGTAGTCGGTTGATAGAGAGATAGAGAGAGTTCAATATTTGTATAGTATATAAAAGTAATAATAATAACGTCTAACTCATCGAGTCACCGCCAGTCATATACATTATATATCATTATTAATTTATGTACATCGCAATAGATCTAGCTGTATTATCTAGAGCGGTAGCGTTAGCAGAACGACTGCAAGTGCGGCACCTAAACGATGGGTTTTCGGTTTTCTCGTCTGATAGTTGCCGTCAGTGCAAGTGCCGTTCCGTGTCCCCCCGAAACTACTGGAGCTATTCGTCGTCGGCCACGTAACCGGCGTTGGCCTTTGCGGCGGTTCCGTTACCGTTGGACAACACCGTGGTGCCCAAAGGTGCGGGAGGGATCGTCTTTTTGGGCTTCTTCTTTTCGTCTTGGCTATAGTGCGCTGTCCCTTCGAGGGACATTGTCTCTTGACGGTGAGAGTTGCGCACAAGACACCCGAGAGCCAACAACAGCAGCACGGCCCCAGAGATGAAAAGCGCGTACTGCAGTGCAGCCTTAGCCACTGGCGGCGTCTGTGTGGCCAGCTTGAGCAGTTGGATCACATTGTCGGGCAGTTCATCGATACCCTGAATAAGAAATAGACAAAAACATATTATTATATTTGACGATTACGGAATAAGATAAACAGTTAATATAGTATCCTGTCGATATTATTATTGTTAACTATAAAAAAAAAAACCCCTTTACGGATGCGAACGTTATCGATTAACCTACAGTATTCACAATAATTAACTAAATTCAGTGACGGACTTAAAGGAGACCAGAAAGAGTCTTTTTCATTATTCTAGCGCCTATAGGTTATTATAATCTCTATTAGGGCGAATGCAAGTTTTCTTACTGAGTATATTAGATAAAAATCACTTGTAATTAAGTTTCCTCGCAAAAAAAAAAAATACACTGTTGGTGTATTAAAATATATCTATGGAACAAAAAAACTATAGTAGGTATTTAAGTTCCTACATAAGTAACTTAAACTAATAAAACTAATAAGAAAAACTTATATGTTCCAATAATGTTTTGCACACTGCAGTAATGAGCTCAAGATTATATCGGTTAATACTATTATGTCAAAAATACATAAGTTTGTTGTATTTAATTTTTGTTTTAAGTAAAATAACGTATTTTTTTAAATTTATTCCTGATTATAGATATTATGTTTGATTGACGACAATAATATAGAATTTAATATAAGTACTTTTTGATGGAATGTGTATTTTAATATCTATTTTTTTTTTAATAAATTCGGTTTAATGAAAATTTTTTCTATGTAACCCAAGTTTATTTTTCAGGTCTAATTCATTCCTTTTATCCTTTTGGGCAAAACAGTGTCACATATTCATAATTTTTTGTAAAAATCGTTTTGCTTGAAAAAAACTTCTTAAACAATAGTTACAGTGAAGAAACTAAATTTCTACATGATACATAAGATAATATTTTTTTTACTTAACGTTTTTATTTTTTTAATATTATTAATTATAACAAAAATAGTTATTAATTTGGTTTTTCAATCTTAAATAATTTTTTTTGTCTTAGTAATATTAAAAAAAAAAATGAAAACGCTATGACATAAAAATTATTGCTTTTTGAGTCATTTATAAATTTAATTTTTTAATTTACTATAAATGTAATCTGAGTGATTTTCATATCATCATCATGCAAAAACTAAAAAATTACTACTAACAAAGAGCCACTTTTAACTTATATGTTATTGACTTTTATTCACTAAATTAGTATTCAAAAAAAATTAAACTTTTTAATTATAATCTAATATATCATTAAAATTGCCTATATCAAACGCCTTAAAAATGTAGTTGGTACAACAGACTACTAGTGTATTACACACGGATAAACTAAAAAAACGGATGAACATTAAATTTATTGGCTAAAAAAATAGTCAATAAAAATAAACTTGAGTAGTGAATACTCTGAATACCTATACAGTATGCATCTTAATCTACTATAATACTCACTTCTTCGAACCACATGATTGGAAATACGATGTCGGGAAATGTGGCAACTTGTTTGATGTCTACTACTTGACTTACGGCAAGATTAATTTGCACTCGAGCTCTGGCACGCATGGCCACTCCCATTTCCTGTACAAACGAATATTGCAAGTTATTACTGTCAGTGGCAAATCGTATGAATATTATAATATAATAATATATTAGGCACTCACAGGTTGCACGTCTATGTAAAACTCGTGACGATCAGCATCTGGCTCGTCCATTCCAAGGACAGCTTCTCTGAGTTTTGGGTCACCCATGTAAAAGTGAGGGAAAGACAATAGCACCGGAGAGTCTGCAAACAAATATAACATTTGGATAAATATTAGTATTTTAGCGCGGTTAACTCGTGAAGATTTACATGCGACTGTATAGATAGTAACTCACCGTATTGGCACAAGCTCACGTTGAACGTGCCATGAGGCGCGCACTGTGGAGTATTCGTTTTTGTCGACACCATAGGCATTGCTGTGGTTGAACTGCTGGTACCAGAAGTACTGTTACTGGTACTGTTCAGTGAAGGGCAGTAGCACCGATTCTCAGGTTCATGGTCTGGATCAGCGAACGCTCGTTGATCAGGACCAAATCGGTACGCTTTCACTCCTCCCTTGCCTTCAATTTGTTTCTTGAACCTATGTATAAGAAAAATTAAGATGTTTTGTTTATCTCTTACCTACTCTAATATATTGAAATTGTATTAATTACACAGAGTTTGTAGATTTAGTACCCCCCCCTCCGGTTTGGTGGAAGAAATAGGTTAAAATAATATATCTAGTTAAAACTAATATCTTTCAATATGTGTAGACACATTTTGATTGCTATAAGTTTCATAAATAATAATATGAGTAAGAGCTTAATAAGTATTATAATATGCTGTCACTCACACTAGAGGCAGTTTCCGGCACATGTCTTTATCGAAGACGTGTAGAACTGTGTCTGGTTGAATCCTGGGAGGGAAAAGAGAACCGTCGCTTCCACCAGACATACGATTGCACGAATCGGAGGTCCAATGTGTCAGATGCGAGCGCCCGTTGAACTTGTCCAGGGCGGCAAAAAGCCGGATGTCCGTGGCCCCAGTGAACACAGTCATATTATCACGTGAAGTTCCGTTTTTCTGTTTTTAAAGTGAAGTAACAGTGGAAGCCAAACAGGAAAACCCAGCACGACATGTAAATAAAAACAATAGATTTCGATAAGTTTAATGTGTGTGGTACACGAACAAATTTAATTTTGAATAACAATGCGGTGATGGCAGTGAATGTGTACATTATATATATTTCAAAACGACAAACAAAAACAAACAAACAAATAGTGAATAGTGCGCGGCGGTTGCAAAAAAAAAAAATTGTAAAACCAACAGTGCAGTGTGGACTGCAATGAGTCGAAGTCGGCGGGTGAGTGGGCGACGTAAAATCAACGGTGGGCTGAAAACAACAAGATCTCGCGCGAGTCTGCAGGTTTGTGGTCAAACTGTTTGCATGTGACACAGCTGCAGTGCACGTGGTTTTGGTAAAATGTTTTGGTCCTGACCGGCCGTCCCATTAGCGACATCCTAGTGATCTTGGTTGGGTGTACCTCCTGGTACCTGCGCTCCGGGTGTAGGTTGAAGTCCTTAGCCATCGGAACCTTCTGAATGGGGGTTGACCACATGCTTTCATCAAGTAATATGTTGGCGCCGGCTGAGAGGATTCCGTCTAGCAGTGGACCGTCCGCGGACAGCAGTCGGTCCAGGCGGAGATATCCCAACAATTCGGGTAGTGTCTTCACGTCGTACTGGTCAACAATGTACTGGAGCTATGTGGTATACACACGACGTAGTGTAGTATATATATTTATCAAAAATACGGGTTCCAAGGGCGGAGGAATGATCGTGGAAAAAATGTGCTTGAGTAAAATACATTTCAGTAGTGAGAGAGATAACTCAGAAATAAAAAATTATAATAATATTACGTTACTCGGTACATTGAAATAAAATCTATCAACTTGCTATAACGTTTCTAAAAAAAGTTATTTTATTACCTATGTCAAATTTTATACTAAAATTATTTTAATAAAAATTATTTTTATACTTCAAACTTTATACTACTATCCAACACTATGTGCATAATATATTAAAGTAATTTATAATAAAGTAAAAGTTGAGCTTGCTACAATTTCGTATAAGTCTCTTCCGTAGTTCCTAACTTAACCTAACATAATAGTACTTTTTTAATAAAAAAACTATAATTTTTTGCCACTGTTTCCTAAGATGTTTTATTTGATGAGTAGGTTAGGTTAAGTTAGGTATACGTACTCAGAGTCTATATATTATGTAGGTATGAGTTTATAATTAATACGAAATTTACACAATAAATAATTTCCAAAATAAAATATAATTTTTGATATTTTACAACTAGGTCGAAACAATAATCTGAGTGTTATTGCTGGGCGACTTCTCTCCTCATGTCTCCTCCATATCTTTATAATTGTATATTATATTATATTATATTATTAGTATAGTTAATTATTACTTTTCTTTTTTCGCATATATGCTCATTGTAAATACCTTTACAGATTGTATATAACCAAATAAATGTTAAAAAAAAATAAAAAACTGAAACATTAAATATTTCACGGGGATATATTTAGGCAATTTGAGTACATTATTTCAAATTGATGTTTACCAATATGCTTGTTGTATAATACTGCTGTATGTCGAACAACCGAAAATTACCAAGATTATGGTTTAAATCCACGGAATAAATTTGAAACAGTTACTGGGAGGAAATCTGATGGTATTATATTTTAAAACTAGATTTAGATTATGATTTTATAAGATTATTGTAGATACCGACCCCATACAGCAGACCAAATTCTTCGTACGGCAATTTTTGTTCCTTTGGCACCACATCTTTGGCTAATTTCAACAGCGGATCCTCGTAACCCCACAGCAGTTGACCGACGCTCACTTCAACAAACGGTTTGACCTTTAGGATGTCCATGATACTGGCCATGGCCAATCTCAAGAATCGGGCAGCGTGTTTGCTCTGCGACGTGGCTGACTGTTATAATAATATACTGTTAATAATACTTCTAACTAATTAGCGATATTATAAAGCGAGTATTTGGATAATTAGTGAAACTGTGCGTATGATATAATATAGGTATTTAACTCACCAACATCGGAATATTCGGTACTACTACTACATCGTCTTCAGAACCAACACTCTGCTCGGGGTCGAACCTGTACACTTTTTGCTGGTTGTACGTGAGCGTGCCGTTGTCGTGGAATGTCATATTGACTTTTTCCCATGTTTCTCTATAAGGGCAGATAGCAGTTGAAGATAAGTCGTTAGTATGAAATGATACAAAAATATTGAACAAATATATAAATTATACTATAAAAAGGCTATTTATCAACGTAGTCCATAAAGTATAGTTTATATTATTTTATACTATAATATACTCACACGTAGACGAACGGACCCAATTCATCCAAGACAGGCTTTTCGCGTACCTCACCTGGCGCGACCACATTCAAAAATTCGTCAGCATTGGTGACATTGTATATGTACACTTTTAACAAAGGTCGCACAGGCGGTTTCCTCCACATCTCGAAAGTCTGAGAACCGGGCCGCAGAGTGATTTGCTATAAATAATACGTGATCAATATGCGTCGTCATAATTATGTTTTATTTTAAATATGTGTTGAAGAAAGTTATCTATATGATGTGCCACCTCCCACAAAAGTAGTTATTGGAAGCGTTTAGTGTATACACCTTTAGCACTTCCTAACCCGCCCGAATCAGATAACTTGTAGTATAAACGGTATAAAAATTCTAGGTTTTAACTGTAGCAAATATAAATAACTTTTTTTTAATTAATAGGTTCTTGTAAAATTATCTATTATAATTATAATTTATCTAAAATCGTAATATTGATTATTTATTAAGTTTATAACAGATAAAAGTACTTAAATTGAAATATACCTAGTCTCAATACTTTATTATTCAAATGGCTTATGATTTAAATCAAGATTTTCAATCTTTGAGCTTTTATTAAATTTGCAAATAATCTAAATTAATGTGAGTGCTCATTTTATAAAATAATTATAACCTAATTTCTAAATTACAAACAAATAAAGAGAATAGAATTTATTAAGATCTAATGTGATGAAAATGTCACATTAAAAACTATCTTTATAAGTAAAACATGGCATGCATTCATCTAAAGTATATTTTTTGAGTTGCATATAATATTCAATAAATTACTAAAATTGAATTGATCAACTATGAGCCATTTAAATCATATTCAAAGAACCATTAGCTCGCTATTTATTCATTAAATGATAAGTGATTATTTATGCAATCTGGCAAATAGAATATTAATGTTTAGTTTATAATCTATAGACTATAAATGTGATTTAGTTTGATGACATTGGAATACTGTTTAAATTTCTAGTGTATAAACAAATTATTATTATCTAGTGAAATTTACTTATAAATTTTTTAGTTAACTCCAAACCCCTACTTTTTGTCCATAAGACTGTCTTAAAATTGTACAGAGAATGTGTTTCCAGTGCATACATTATCCATATTATGCATTATATATTAATAATTAATAAGATACTTACATCATCGATAACCAGCTCGACTGCCGACGTGAAAAACGCTACCACTAGAAGGCCGCCGACCAATAGTGCTACGGCTATTGCAAGTACAACCCCTAAAAATTTAAACAATTATTAATTTGTATTATAACACTGCTTTGCTAAGGGAGCATATGTATATTATCTATTAAGTGAAGGTTAGCAAGTACATAGTATAGAAAAAGTGGTGCTGCGAAATTTGTTTTGGTTTTATTGATGGCCATTGCACAAAAAAAATAATATTCCTTTCACAGACCTGTTCACATACACACACATACGTATAAATATATATAAACATATTAGGCAGATTTAAATGAGCTTAATAACAAACGCTGTGAATGCGGAACGAAAGCAGATTGTAACAGTCTAGATAGTTTATATAAGCTGAAATGAAGAAACCGGCTACTAAGTCCTTGCCGCGACTCGCCGATGTCACGAACGCGGAAGCGGAAGTGTCAGCGACCAAGTTACTTGCTCGCCAATCGTTCATAAACGTATTGAGGGATTGTAAGCCAACGTACCACAAAATAGGTATTTTGTACACTATTATACATAGATAAACAATACGTATGCTTTTTTTACGACACACAGCATTGAATCATCATTGACGGAAATATGGATTTCCTATGATGACCTTTTATTACAAAAATCGACCGAGCTGAGTCATTTCCGCCGTCCCCGAATTATTACTATCGCACGTTTAACTACGAAGTCATCGTCATCCGAATGCTGACTGTTCAGGTTTAACAGGAAAATACGACGTGTAACTCGAAATGATTATATTTAACATAATATAACATATTATCATAATTGTTTTATAACGTACTATACACATTTTATGAACATCGATGGTGATGCTTAAATAAAAATAATATATATTCAACAATTGCATCTATGATACTCTATGATTATAATGATTTTTTTTTAGAACAACATTATTATCATCATCACGATAGCGGCCTTATAATAATAATAATTCTTTTTCATCGTAATAACACAATAATTGTGCGTATCTACCACAAGGCTATACTGAACGCAAATCGATTGAAGATAAAAGTTACCTTTTTGTTAATTTCAAAAGTAATGATTTTTCTATGATAATTTATTAATATGATAAACAAGCACTTGGAAGAATATTAAAAAAAATTAACAGTCATAAGTAACTTAATATGTATTATATATCCCATACATTTGCGCTTACAATTCGTTTATTAAATTTATTTTGGTATAAAAAAAAAAGGTTCAATAATCACCAAGAGCATGCAAATTTATTAAATACTTGATAGTGTACGAACAAATGTATTATTTTTTTTTTACGAAATTTCCCTTACTGTTGTGCCCTCATGACAAGTTAACTGCCTTGAATATTATATTTGAATCTCAGGTTTGGTGTAACATAGTAATTGGTAATAGTCGATAAGTGATCATTTTTGATATACAAGGTTAATTTTAAATGTTGATTTGAATAATGATAAGGCAGTCAACTTGTTGTAATCCTATATTTTCTGATAGATATGAAATCTAAGGTTAAATATTCATAGACTTCAAATACCAACAGAGTATACAAAAAATTTTCAAATTTTTTTTAATCATAATATGTTATAAACAAAAATGATCTATAAATATTATTGTGACATCGTAGCTGTATCTCAAGTGACTAAAGGAACGTATAAATAAGTTTGTTAAGAATTTAATAGCTTAGGCTAAAATAGGCAAAACAGCGACTAAATCGTAAAGTCAACCCATGTTCCCATTGACGGTGACTTGTAATAGAACAGTGATTTATTTTATTCTTATAAAGGTTAGCTTTATTTATGATTTGCTAGAGACTTTTTATCACACTTTAAAATATGCACAATGCACATATTATTCTAATCTTTAATTAAAAACAGTGATAGTTATTTAAAAAAAAAAACATAAACAAAATAACACACAAACAAAAACAACTTAAGAAAAAAAAAAATAGATTAAATTCTCTTCTTTCCAACAAATTAAGCAATTTTAATCTACTTAAGTCACAACCGATGAAATGTGTATAACGTGTCTTTAAACAAATTTCGTAATGTCGTGAAACCGTAAATAAAACAGACTGTAACGGTAGATTAGGTGTAGATTTATTTAAAAAATGACGTATCAAAGTATACACTAACAATGTTCTGTATCAGTTCATATCGAAATTGTCTATGTAAAACGACACTGTTGCATCCGTAATTATTAATCTACGTAGCACCTATTAAAAAATTTTTCGTGGTCGGTTTTGTGATCCATGCAAAAAATAATGCGCAGATTTTTATTTCGGCGTATAAAATTAACGGAATTAGCGATTCGTTAAAAATTGAACTAGATTTGGACATGTGTACACGTATATTATAAAAAAATGTACGATAGACATAAATTATAGGTATACATTCTGGTTATAACGATCGTGAAGCAAACCAGTTGTTATACACTAAAACTGCGTTGCCGATAATGATATACTTATTATATTATTGAACTAGTGAAGTGCCTATCACATCATTAGCCAAGTCGTCTACACAGGTATAAACGCCGTTCGTGATCAACGTAGATATGGTTACAAACCACGCGTGTAGCCAAGCCCTGAGAACGCAATTACTCGCAGGTCCGTTTACGCGCAAATAAGGAGTTATACGAGTACAGCGACGACTCGTTAACCAGGTTTTTGTCGATTTGGACGTGGGCTGGGGAGAGTCCTTACGATTCACAGAGTGAAATTGAATCATAATACTGTTTGCGTTAACGAGCATAATATCATATGTGACATAACGCTCTCGAGTTAAAAAAAAAAAAAAAAAAAAAAACATAAACAAAAAGGAACTGCACCATTACTACGACCATCTCGCGATGAATAAATATATCCACTTAATATTATAATATTAATACGCTACGTATATTGGGAGACGAGCAGTACTCGTCCTCGGGTCTGATTGTATAATTCCACTGTATGTGCACACAACCGTAAGTCATCGTGCGTTTATACGGTCGTAAATAGTCGTATAAACCGCGCCGATCTGGCGTTTAATTATTGATATTAATTTACGACGATGATGACGATGATGATAATTTATGCTATATCAGCCGAGGACATCGCGAACGTCTGCGGTAACCGCGTAAACCTATGCCTACAGTATGCTATACCATTAATTCACTTGACGTCCTCCGCGAAAACTAGTATATATTAGTAGTTATAGTTATATTGTTATTAAATTATTGCGAGTTCCAGAACGACGACGATGACATTCCGGTTTTCTTTTTTCCTCGTACCGCATAATGTATATCATTATTCATTTTAATTTAATGTCATTATATTAGTACTGTGTACTTAAACGGTAAGAATACGCTTTCCAATATGGTCGTGTTTTATTTTTTTCATTTATTCCAAGAGCGGTGTTCACCTCCGAAAAAAAATAAAAAAAAATTATGAACACTACCGAAAAACAAACAAACAAAACGACGATTTTCCGCCGGTTTTTTTCTCGTCTCTATCGCTTTACCGGCGTAAAAGGCCATATAACCGCCGCATGACAGTCAGAGGTCGACAGCGTTTTTATTGCCGTCGAAGTTTTTTCCTACCACCGCGTTTCGTTCCGCTGAGGAAGGAGTGAGTAGGTATAGTAATGAAAACAAAATCGGAAATACGACAAAAAAATGTCGCCCAACCTTCCGCTTTGCTCACGGAATATTACCTATACCGTGTTATTATTATCATAAACGAACAATGACTATATACGTTAGGTACATACTTGCCAAGTTGCAGCAATAAAACAATTACACGCGATTATTATGTTATTTATTATACTGTTATGTTGTACCATGTATTGTGCACATGCGCACTACAAGTCGACATTTCCGAACACGCACCATATTTATTGTATATTTTTATTATTACGTACGGTGATGAGATCGGAATATCGCGTTATAGTGTCATCAGCGCGCGGCGTCCGTGACCGATATGAGACGGCGCGGGCTAGTTGTCATGATGAAAACCAAAAAAAAAAAAAAAAAAACATAATAATAAATATGCAATAGCGAAATGCCACTGAGGTTCGACGTATGACGTAATAATTATGTTATGTTATGATTACGACGCGAACGGGAGCCAACCGCGACTTAAGTCTCATAAAAATGTATATTGTTTTCGTTATTCGCTGAGGCGTTGCTGACCATCATTTGTCGCGGATCAAACGTCTATAGTTCTGGCCTATATGATCCAAGAATTAAAAGATTCTGTGAAGTAAATTTTCAAAAAAAAAACATTTTATTATAATGATTGTTTAAACATTAAGTTGAAAAAGTTTAATTTATACTTGTTTACTTGAAAAATGTTCTACAAAAAAATCATTCGCGACGTATAACTTTTTTAAATCATTATTAATAATTGTCAATTATTGACTTATAAATAATTAATACATCTTTAAGTTCAATCAAAACTTGTTAGAATTGTAGTTTAAGAAGATTGTTGTCATTGTTTGTAATAAATTAGCTGCGTATATTATATTGTATAGTCAATTATAGTTACCTAATAGTTAGCTATAGCAATTAACTTAAAAATCTTTTTTCGTTCAAAAAAATATCAAAGTATTGATGTCGTAATATTGTATGACCGATAATTAAAACTAAGACCTCCGCCCTTAAGCGTTCTACTTAAATAAAACGTAATAAATTTTATTGGTCCTGGTGTGTGTATACATTCATTAGAAAAACATGATATTATTATTGAATCTATTGTATGCAGTTTACAGTTTGATTATGTCTTGTCTTACGTTTTTTTTTTTTTTTTTTTAAATGAGAACATATTTTGAAAACATTTTTTTGAGCGCCACTGATTAATTGTTTACAATATAGTATTATATACGTCACAGATACCAATGAATGTGCGCGCGGAACGGTGTTCTACTCAACACGATATTGCAGTGACGCGCGCGTGGGAAATCCACATAGACGGGGCCGGGGCCAATAACCGGTCGACTTCCGCGATGTGAAAAAATTTTATCGAACAGACATATATATACGTAAAAATATCTACGTAGATTAGTACGTCGGTGGCTGTTAATATACG